TGCCAAAACCAGGTGAAACCAGATGAAGACACCAAAAGAAAACACAAAAAAACTACAAACTAATATCTCTTTTGAGTATGGATGCAAACATTTTCAAAAAAAATTCTAGCAAGCTGAATCCTGCAACACATAAAAACAATTATATACCATGACCAAGTAAGATTTATCCAGAAATGCAAGGCAAATCAGCAACCAAAAGTCAATTAATAAAATTCATCATATCAATAAAATAAAAAATGAAAAACACATGATCCTCTCAACAGCCCAGAAACATCATTACAAAATTTAACATCTCTTCATGACAATACTCTCCACATACTAGGAACAGAAGGGATCTTCCTCAACCTGATCCAGTGCGTCTGTGAAAACCCAGAACTGACTTTGTACTTAATAGTGAAAGACTAAATGCTTTCCCCTGAAGATAAGAACAAGACAAGGACTGTTGCTCTTTTAACTTCTATTCAACATTATACTGAAGATTCTAGTGAGGAAAATTAGGCAAGAAGATGAAATAAAATTCAAATTGGAAAGAAGTACTATGATCTCTATTTGCAGATGACATGATCCCACACACTAAGGAATTCATTAAAATAATGAATCAAAATTGAGATGTGTCTCAATGCCATAGACTTTTTGTCTCAAAAATGATTCAAACTGTCCAACACTAGAGTTCACTGATCAAAATGAACTGTGGCTAGAAGTAGACCTCTAACTCACTCACTCCTAGATGGCCTCATCCAGGCTTCAAATGTGTATTTTGGGCCAAACTCCCCCACTTGCTATCTCACCTTGGATATTTAACACTTAACCTTCACATGGCCAAAGCAGAGCTCTTCATTATTCCCTCCAAATCTAACCATCCAAGTGTCTCCTCAATCTCAGTAAATGTCACCACCATTTGCTAAGTCAAAATGCTACAAGTCACTTACTTTGATTTTGAAATAATTTCAAATCTAGAGAAAAGTTGTGTCTTAGTCTATTTGTGTTGCTATAAAGAGACACCTGATGTTGGGTAATTTATAAAGAAAGAGCTTTGCTTGGCTCACAGTTCCATAAGCTATACCAGAGGCATGGCTCCAGCATCTGCATCTGGTGATGGCCTCAAGATGCTTCCACTTATGGTCATGCACACTGGCTCATGCCTGTAAACCCAACGCTTTGGGAGCCTGAGCCGAGCAGATCACTTGAGGCCAGGAGTTCAAGACCAGCCTGGCCAACACAGAGAAACCCCATCTCTACTAAAAATATAAAAACTAGCTAGGCGTGGTGGTGGACACCTGTAGTCCCAGCTACTGGGGAGGCTGAGGCAGGGGAATCACTTGGACCCAAGAACCTGGGAGGTAGAGGTTGCAGCTGCCACTGCACTCTAACCTGGGTGACAGAGCGAGATTCCGTCTCAAAAAAAGGTGTTTCTACTTACGGCAGAAGAGAAAGGGAGAAAGTGTGCGCAGAGATCACATAGTGAGGAAAAAAGAGAGAAAGGAGGTTCAACAAGCAGCTCTCACAGAAACTAATAGAGCAAGAACTCGCTCATTACCGCAAGAATGGCACCAAGCCATTCATGAGAGATCCACCTTCCTGACATGAGAGAAACACCTCCCACTAGGTCCGACCTCCAATATTGGGGATCACATGTCTTTTCATTTATTTATTTATTTTTCCCCAAGACGGAGTTTTATCCTTGTTGCCCAGGCTGGAATGCAATGGTGGAATCTTGGCTCACCACAACCTCTGCCTCCCAGGTTCAAGCTATTCTCCTGCCTCAGCCTCCCTAGTAGCTGGGATTACAGGCATGTGCTGCCAGGCCCAGCTAACTTTTTGTATTTTTAGTAGAGACGGGGTTTCTCCATGTTGGTAAGGCTGGTCTTGAACTCCCTACCTCAGGTGATTCACCCACCTCGGCCTCCCAAAATGCTGGGATTACAGGCGTGAGCCACCACGCGCTGCCAGGGATCACATTTCAACATGAAGTTTGAAAGTTGCTTTCTTGCAACTTGCCATTGAGTTTGGAGATTACACCTTCCAAACCTCCCAGTGTAAACAGGAGCACCTATTTACCCTTAAACAGGATTCCCCACTGTTAACACTTTACCACATTCCATGTATGTGGTATATACCTTATCACACTCATTCTTTGCATATGTATTGCCTTTTTTTCTGAATCATTTCACTGTAATTGCAGATATGATGACCTATTACTCTTTGAATACTTTAGTGTATATGTTGTAACAAAGACACTGCCATACGTAACCATAGCACAACCGTCAAAATCAGGAATTAACATTAACAGAATATTACCATCACAGATTCTAGTCGCATTTTATAAATTGCCCCAATTATGTTCTTTATAGGTCTGGATCCAAATCAGGATCATGTGTTGCAGTTAGTTGTCATGTCTCTTTAGTTTCCTTCTATCTGGAACAGTTCTTCAATCTTTACTTGTCTTTCAAGACCTTGGCATTTTTGAAGAGGACAGGCTAGAGTGCAGTGGCTCCTGTCTGTAATCCCAGCACTTTGAGAGGCCAAGGCAGGCAGATTACTTAAGGTCAGGAGTTTAAGACCAGCCTGGCCAACATGGTGAAACCCCTTCTCTACTAAAAAATACAAAATTAGCTAGGTATGGTGGTACATACCTGTAATCCCAGCTACTTGGAAGGCTGAGGCATGAGAATCACTTGAACCCAGGAGGCAGAGGCTGCAGTGAGCCCACTGCACATCATGCCACTGCACTCCAGCCTGGGTGACAGAGTCAGACTCAGTCTAAAATAATTTTTTTTTTTTTTTTTTTTTTTTTTTTAGAGACAGAGTCTTTCTCTGTCACCCAGGCTGGAGTGCAGTGGTGTGATCACAGCTCATTGCAATGTCAAACTTGTGGCCACCTCCTGGGTTCACACCATTCTCCTGCCTCAGCCTCCCAAGTAGCTGGGACTACAGGCGCCCGCTGCCACGCCCAGCTAATTTTTTGCATTTTTAGTAGAGACGGGGTTTCACCGCGTTAGCCAGAATGGTCTGGATCTCCTGACCTCGTGATCTGCCCACCTCAGCCTCCCAAAGTGTTGGGATTACAGGCGTGAGCCACCGCGCCCAGCCTAAAATAAAATTTTTTTTAAAAAAAATTTTTTAAAGGACAGGCTAAGTCCTTTGTAAAATGTCAGTTTGGGTTTGCTCTGATGTTTCCTCATGATTTTTGCATTTTCGGCAGTAACAATGGAAAAATAGTATTATATTTCTCTCAGAGCATTATGTTATGAGGCCCATGATACTGACTTGCCCCATGACAGGTGGCATTAACTTTCATCAGCTGACAGGCTTCTCCACTGTCAGATTAACTAATAATGGAATGTATTAATTAATATCAAATTAGTGAGCCAGGAGCAGTTCTGCACACCTGTAGTCCCAGCTACGCTGGAGGCTGAGGTGGGAGGATCCTTTGAGGCCAGGAGTTTGAGGCTACAGTGTGCTAAGATCATGCCTGAGAAGGGCCACTGCACTCCAGCCTGGGAGACAAAGTGAGACTCTGTCTCTAAAAGAATAAATAAATAAATAAATAAATACTGTTTAAAAATAAAGTTAGTATTTGATATACTCACTATACCAAATATGTTAGTAGGATATACTCTACAACTAGGTCTACATTTATTAACTGTAATTGTATCGTAAGGTAGCACGTTTCCTTTTCCCTTGTTTATTTATTCATGTATTATTTGTATTTATATGAACTCATGGATTCTATTTTAACCAACGGATTACAATCTGTTCTTGTCATTATCTATTCTGAGGCTCAAATAGCCCCAGATTTGGCCATAGGTAGTCCCCTGGAACATCTTCTTTGATTGAATCCAGAATAACACACCATACTCCTTGGGTGGCCAGCATCCATTTTTCCCTCTTCCCACCAACAGCAACCCAGATTTTAATGTTTATTATCAACCAAGTGATTGGGTTGAGATGAACCCCACCTCAGCCCCAGGGGTATGCCCTGCTTAGCGTGAGCCAATCAGTGTACCCCATTATTCTCCAGGACACAGTGATTGGTCTGAGGGTGGGCAAATGACGTGTGAGAACTGGCCAATGAGAACTAAGGAGACGACTGATAGGCCTTCTGGGAAAGAAGCTTCCTATCTCTTTCCAAGGGAGCTCTCTCTCCCTCTGATGGATGCGCTGTAAAGATGGTGAAGTGTGGACCTGATGAAGCCATTTCTGCTGCCAAGAGAGAAGCGAACCTGAACACAGTTTCAATATACAGAGGTGGGGAGAACGAAAAATTGCAATAAAACAGGACTGGGGCTCTGGTGACGCCACACATTTCTGGATCATTCTGTGCCTGAACATATCTGTGGACTGGTTATTTGAACCAGTAAATTACCTTTTTTAATTAGGCCAGAATGGGCTGAGACTTCTGTTGCTTGCAACCAAAAGGACCCTAAATGATACACTCCCCTGAAACAGCAAAGGAAGGCTGCCTGTGGCAAGAAGCAAAAAGATGGGTTTCTGTTCCTTTTCACCAAAAACAAAACAAAAAAAAACCTCTAACGCTGCTGGTCTCCCCCACTCGTCTGAGAGCTTCTGGGGACATAGCCACTGTGTGCCCCGGCCTCTCAGAATAACGCATGGCTGTGGTGAGTGCTCAGTAAGCATTAACTGTGTGAATGCTGTTAAGGTTGTCTCGTTCATCGCTAAATCCGTAGCATCTACAACAGTGTATGGGACACACGACAGACATTTATTGAAGGACTACACAGCTCACCCCAGCATGCCACTGACACCCAGCCCTCAAATCCACCAAAGGAGAAGAAGCTGCGGCTAAAATCTTGCTTGACACTTTATTCTCCTGAAAGGGGAGCGCAGCAGAGGGAGTCGGGGAAGGGAGACTGGAGAGTGGATTCTGGACCGAGGAAGCGAGGAGCCGGCAGAGGTTGCTGAGGTTCCCGGGATCTGAGGACAGGAGCCTGTGCTTCTTCCACAGGACAGGGTGAGAGGGCTCAGAGGGAACCTGGAGCAGAGAGAACAGCCAGCTGTGGGCAGATGTGGTGGGTCCCCATGGGGAAGCAGGCACTCAGAATGTTACTTGCTTAAGGTCTCGCAGCCACCCGTCCCTACTGAACACACCCAGTGGCACATCCTGGAAGCCAGTCGGCAGCCTGAGCAGGTTGTGGGGCCTTGAATAGAAAAGTCACAAGCTCCAATGACAGGAAATCGTGGGCACCCCCGATCTGCTAGCACAGAATCCCAGAGCATTAGCAAGTGCCAGCTGAGCTGCCAAAGCCAATCACCAAGGCCCCTTTCTGGCCCCACTTCCTACAGCCCAGTCCTGTTCTCTCCAGGCACAGCCTGGGCAGTCATGGAGGGAAAGGCCTCACGCTCCCCTGCCTGAAGGGTTCCCTAGCCCAGCTCTCAGGACCCAGAATTGTGGGGGAGGATGTGGCCCCAGTTCCCGACCCCAGGGACCCATGCTGGGCTGGGGATTGGAGTTTGACTGAGGGTCTGATGACCTTGAATAGCCTCAGTCTGAGGACATTTCTCCAGGGTCAGGTCTACGCACACGGTGACCTCCTTCAATTCTCATTCCAATCTCAAAAATCAGGATTGCTATCTCCCCTTCACAGATGAAGAAACTGAAGCTCAGAGAGGTCAAGTTATTTGCTTAAAGTCACACAGCCAGGGAGAGATGGAGACCAGATTTTACTCCACGACCACCTGTGTCTAAAGCCCAAGCTCTAATCAGTATTTCTCAAACATTTCTAGCTAAAGTCCATCTGCTCAATTCTCCACACTTTCCTGTGCTGGGAGATGGGGGAGTAATGTGTCCTAAGAAGGCAGCTTTGATATATCCTGGGGGAAACTGTCTCCACCCCTCAGGAGGCATCCCTGCTGTCACCTCTGCACTCACCCATAGAAGGTTCACACAACCTGAGGTCCACACAGATCTTCTGGGCAGTTTCTCCGGCCAGGAGGCCCTGGGTAACTCTAGGCTGATACCTCCTCATGAAATTTTTGCAGACGTCGCGCCATTGTGACCTCACCATCCTACACACACGGGCCTCAGCACTGGAAATGCTTCTCTGCAGCAGCAGAACCACAGTGGACATGGTTATAGGGTGAGTCCTGTGCAGCTCTGCCACCCTGCAGGTTCCAGCAGCCCTAGCAATGGGAGTACTAGGTGCGAGGAACTGGCGCCTGGTGCCCATGGAGCCAGAGACTGTAGACACAGGGCTGGGCCCCTACTCCCACTCTCCAAGGCCTGGCCCAAGCCTGGTCAGGTAGGGCTCCTGAGACAAGGACAGTTAGCCCTGCTGAGGTCTCAGCCCCTTGTCCACCTGTCCCCTGCCTTCTGTGTGGAGAATGGTGCCCGTGGCTGCCAGGCACACATTAAATGCTCTGCCATGTAGCTACCTGGGTCCAGGACCTGGCTGGGGGCTACAGCCAGAGGGGGTGCATAGAGAAGACTGGTGGGGGTGGGAGGTGTGGTTAGAGCTTGGAGTCTTGGCTCATTTGGTTTTAAAGTCTCTTTTATGCCATCCCAGGGGGGAGGATGAATCTGGGTATCCAGGGCTAAGTGTGAGCCTGCAGTGCCAGGATGCTAAGAAGTTTGGGGGAGCAGAGGAGAGGGAAGGAGGGAGAGTGAAACAGTAATTCTTGGTAGTAACGCAGTCATTTGTTAAGCATTCACTCAGTGCTGGATGTGGAGCTAAGCACATCCCAGCCCTCAGCTCTTTTAAAAAGCTTCAGCAGCCAGGTGCAGTGGCTCACACCTGTAATCCCACACTTTGGGAGGCCAAGGCAGGTGGATTGCTTCAGCTCAGAAGTTGGAGACCAGCCTGGGCAGCACAGTGAGACCCTGTTTCTTAAAAAGTACCAAAATTAGCTGGGCGTGGTGGCGCACACCTGGAATCCCAGCTACTTGGGAGGTTCAGGCAGGAGAATTGCTTGGGCCAGGGAGGCAGAGGTTGCAGTGAGCCGAGATCACACCACTGCACTCCAGCCTGGGTTTAAGAGTAAGATCCTATCTCAAGAAGAAAAAAAAAAAAGAGCTTCGACAACTTGCGAGATAGGGACTATTATCCATCCCATTTCAAAGATAAGATAACTGAGGCTCAGAAAGTGGAAGTCACTTGCCCAAGGCTGTGCAGCTTCCAAGTAGCAGATCTGGGATTTATCAGTCCTGACTCAGGTCTCTTAGGGAACCAGGTTCTCAAAGCTCTGCCTTGGACACAAATGTTAGGGCTTTAGGGGAAGATTCCTAACTTCTCTGGGACAAGCCGTCTTTGAGGATACATGATGAAAACCATGTATACTCTGACTTACACAGTTCCAGAGAGTCACAAACAATTTCACAAGTTCTCTGAAATTCATCCACAGACACATGGGGACTCACAGATTCCCTTCTAGGAAGCCCTCCCCCAGGACCACTGTGCAAGGTGACCCCAGGCTCCCTGATCCCCGACCTGGTCACAGGCCGGCCCCTCCATTGAGCAGCAGACAGGAGGCTCTGTAGCCCCTCGGCCTCACCTGGGTGGGCTCATTCACCATAGCCTTCAGTGTCTGGATTATCCTCAGACAGATCTTGCAGTCGAAGTCCAGCTCCTGCATTTTGATCAACAGGTCACCCTGTCAGGAAAGAAAGCCCCTATCATGGTCTCTCAGACATTCTGGGAGTGCGTGAAAGTGACCAAGAAAGGGGCCCTTGGTGTTTCTGAGGCTGGCAGGAATGTCCGTGATCTCTTCCCAGAGCATGGATACACTGAAGGCCTGAACTGGCTGCCTGGACCCTGCCTGCCTTTTTGCTTGTCTTAGAGGCTCTGAGACACCCCAGAAACAGCCTCCCACACCCCCAGTACTTTCCCAGCCCTGCACTTGCCCCTCTCCTATTGAGGAACTCCCACGGGAGTCTACCTATTTGGGTTCTGCAGCCCCAGGCTCTTTGGAGGGTGAGACCCCGGAGGATCCTCTTGGGACAGTCTACCAGGTATCTGTAACCCTCCTGGCCAGACATGAATTCGACAAAACCAGCATCGTCAGAAACAGCCCAGCCTCCACTCCCACCTCCTGACCATTAGAGAGCTCCAGCCCTCACCCCAGGAGCCACCCAGGGAGGAGGGAAAGGAGAGGGACTGTGGCAGGTGAGCAGAGAGCCAACATGTACCTGGGGGCCCTCCTGGGCCAGGCACGGGCAGGATTGCTCCTTGTCACACAGGTGGGCTGTTGCCACTTCATAGTACTCAGGGCTCAGACGAGAGAAGACCAAACCTGAGGAAGAAGGCACTTCAGCTTCCCCTCCGCAGGTGGAAGGAGAGGGAAAACCCGTTCTCCTGGCTGGTGGGAGTCCAGGAGGTGGCCAGGGCCTCGGACAGGGGCTGGGCCTTGCAGGGGGCCAGGATACCGGTCCACATGCTTTGCCCTGGAGCCGCTCTGACCCACTCTCAGCACAAACACATGTTCTCACTTTCCTTCTAGAAAGCCAGGAGGGCGGTGAGACTTTCTCTTCTCCTCTGTTCTGCCAGCAACACAGATTTGGGGGTCAGTTTGTCTAGAAACTTCCCTCAATCTCCTTTCAAGAGATTTTCTTTTTTTACCTTCCAGCCAGATGGCCCAGCCAAATCCACTCTCCCTTCCAGAAGTGTCCTTGCCCTTGGGGCTCACACTGACCCCAAGGCCTGGGAGACAGCAGGGTGCAGGGGGCAGGAAGTCTGCCTTGAGCAGGGAAGAGACCCCGTTCTCTCACCAGCCCTGCACAATCCTAGACAGTGTAGGCCTGAGGAAACGCAGATCCACCGATGAAGACCAATGGCCTTCACCACACAGATGCGGAGGCAGGGCCTTGGGAGGGAAATGGGGGGTCTCAGGCCACACAGTGTGGCCAGTAGAGTTAGGACCAGAATCCCTGGCCTGTCTCTCCTCGTTGGCCAGGCCACTGACAGGCTGGGCAACACACTGGGCTAAGCCTGGCTCTGAGGGGAGGGCCAGGTCTCCATGATGTGGGAGAAGGCTGGGGAGAGGCAGGGGCACCTGGGTGCCCACAGAGTCCATGCTCCGGGTTCAGCCAGCCTGAGAGTGCAAGGCTGGGAGGGCCATCAGGATCGATCCCGAGGGGAAGGCCTTACCTGGGTTGCCCAGGAGCATGGCTGCAAGGAGAAGGAGGGCCCAGGTAACCATGGTGGGGCAGCTGCTCAGATGCCTTTCACACCCTGTTTTGTGGGCAGGGAGCCTGCAGCTTAACCTTTCTCAGGTCCTGCCCTTTTTGTATGTCATCTTCCCTGTGTCACTGGGTTTACCACAAATACAAATACTAATTTATGGAGAAGCAGGTCAGTGCAGTGGTAGCCCACAGGGTTCACGCCACACCCCACTCCCACACAACTAGAATGCCGGGTTGCTGGAGGCCAGCAGCTGCCTGGATGCTTGGGATGTGCTAATGGAGGGAGAAACCGCTTAGTACAAGTATGTTCCAAATCCTGCGTGGGACATACTTATACTAAAAGTATAAGTGAGTCATCTCACTTGATCCAAAACCTATTTTTAAACAGCTTTTTAAATTTAACAATATACCACGAACATCTTTCCACATCTGTAAATATAGATCTTCTTTATCATTTCCACTGGTTACCTAATGGTTCCCTTTACACATGAACCATAGCTGGGGTCCTGTAACTCTGGGACTCATGTCCCCTGTAGTACTTTGGTTTGAAGAGCAGAGGCCGGGAAGCCTCTCCAAGGGCTCACCCGGTAGTCGAGTTGAGTGATGTGAAGGCCTTCTTCAGACAGGGTGCCTCAGCATCTCAAAATGGCAGCTGTAGCTCCTCCAGGCTACAAGGCCTGTTCGTGTGGAAAATGGAAAGAGTGAAGCAGAAAGAGATGGTACTTGTATAGGAAAAACATCTTTCCCAGGGACCTTCAACCTCCATCTAATTGATCTGAACTGTGTCACATGATGACCCTGGCTGCAAAGGGCAATAGGAAGGGAGTCTTTTGCTGGACCTTCACTGACACTTCGTTTTTTGTTGTTGTTTGTTTGGTTTGGTTTGGTTTGGTTTGGTTTGGTTTTTCTTTTTTGAGATAGAGTTTCACTCTTGTCACCCAGGCTGGAGTGCAATGGTGTGATCTTGGCTCGCTGCAACCTCCACCTCCAGGTTCAAGTGATTATCCTGTCTCAGCCTCCTGAGTAGCTGGGATTACAGGCGCATGCCACCACGCCCTGCTAATTTGTGTGTTTTTAATAGAGACAGGGTTTCACCACGTTGGCCAGGCTGGTCTCAAACTCCTGACCTCAGGTGATCTGCCCGCCTCAGCCTCCCAAAGTGCTAGGATTACAAGCGTGAGCCATCGCACGCGGCCTTCATTGACACTTTGAACAAAATTGGTATTCTGTTAGGGAGGATGAGGGAACGGGAATCGTATAGGCAATGGCAGTGTCAGTTACTGCACGACTTTTTTTTTTTTTTTTTTTTTTTGATACAAGGTCTTGCTCTGTCGTTCAGGCTAGAGTGCAGTGATACAATCACAGATCACTGCAGCCTCAACCGCCCAGGCTCCAAAAATCCCCCCACCTCAGCCTCCCTAGTAGATGAGACCATAGGTGCTTGCCACTATCACCCCTGCTGATTTTAAAATTTTTGGAAGAGATGGGTCTCCATATGTTGCCCAGGCTAGTCTCGAACTCCTGGACTCAAGCGATCCTCCCCGCCTCCAAAGTGCTGAGATTATAGGCATGAGCAACCATGCCTGATTTTGCAGGACTTTTTGATAAGGAAACATATTTCAGGAAGAATTGGTAGGACTTTGTAGCCATATGATTACAAGAAAGAAACAAGAGAGAGGTGAAATATTAGTGAAATATCAGGAGGCTGAGGGACTGGCTGTGCAAATTAGAAAAAGGAGCTTGTTGGTGAGAAGTTGAGTTTGAGGTATTGCATTTGTGGCTGGCTTGTTTCCCCAGATGTAAATCAACTGCTTGAGGGCAGGACTGCCTCTGCCTGTCAGGGTCTCCCCACCATGCCTAGAACAGCTCTCAGACCAACCGGCAAACTCCTTTTACCTCAGATGAGGAAAGCAGGACTCAGAGAGATCCAGTGAATTACCCACCAACACATAGCTAGGAAGGGAATGGTCTGTGGATATGAACCCAGACCCTATGACTCCAAAGCCCAAGTTTTCCCCCAGCCCTATCCTATCTCAGTCTCCAGGTTTTCAGTGCAGGGCCACAATCCTCTTGAGGCCAGCTCAGGCACTACTCCCCCGTCTCAGCAGGCTCCCTCTCTCCTGACCACTTGTAGACCTTGGTCTCATGTGTGAAGACCATATTAATGGGCAGAAAAGGTCTTGAAAGGTGACTCATGTCTCTTTATTGTGGGAAACTTGGTGAGACCAAATATTGCAGTGAGTCCTTTTCTGAGGTGTTGAGGGGTACGTGACAAAGCTCACGTAGTTAGTCACAAGTCTCCACCCAGGCCTCTGGGGTCCCGTGTGATAAGAACCTGGGGTCTTACCCAGTTCCCACCCATGGTACCCCAGGAACTGACCCATTGCAAGTCAGGACCAGGCCCCAAAAAAATTCCTGTGTGAAATACTGCCTTCTGTATCTTCTTCAGAAAATCTTCACTTACCCTAAAGTCATAAAAATAGCCTCTATGTTTTTTTCTAGAACTTATAATTTTAACTTTGACATTTAGGTCTATGACTCATCTCAAATGAATGTATAATGTGAGTTGGGTTGAGGTTCTGTTTTTCAATATCAATTTCTTGAAAAGATTTTTCTTTTCCCATTGAATTGCTTTCGCATGTTGGTTGAATATCAATTGACTATGGGTCTGTTTGCGAACTCATTTTATCAACTACTACTGCAATAATAATAATATAATAATAATAAAGCAATCCAATTTTTTAAATGGGCAAAATATTTGAACAGGTAATTTGCAAAGGAAGATAAGAACAACCAAAACATTTGAAAACCTGCTCAACATCGTAAATCACAAAGAAATTCCTTTTTTTGAGCTGCAGCCTCACTCTGTCGCCCAGGCTGGAGAGCAGTGGCATGACCTCGGCTCACTGCCACTCTGTCTCCTGGGTTCAAGCAATTCTCCTGCCTCAGCCTCCTGAGTAGCTGGGATTACAGGCACATACCACCATGCCTGGCTAATTTTTGTATTTTTAGTAGAGATGGGGTTTCACCATCTTGGTCCATGGTCTTGAACTGCTGATATCAAGTGATCCACCCACCTCGGTCTCCCAAAGTGTTGGGATTACAGGCACGAGCCACCATGCCTGGCCAAGAAATTCTGTATTAAAACTCTACTGAGATGATGTCATCAACATGACAGTAGCCAAAAGGCGGAAAGAGCCCAGGTGTCCATTGACAAATAAATGGATAAACAAGCCAGTCATCATGGCTCAACCTCTAATCCCAGCATGTTGGGAGGCCAAGGTGGGAAGATGGCTTGAGGCCAGGAGTTTGAGGCCACCCTGAGCAACATAGTAGACCCCAGTTCTACAGAAAAATTTAAGAATTAGCTGGGCATAGTGGCATGTGCCTATAGTCCCAGCTACTCAGGAGTCTGAGGTGAGAGGATTGCTTGAGCCCAGGAGGTCAAGGCTGCAGTGAGCCAAGGTCATGCCACTGCACTCCAGCCTGGGTGACAGAGTGAGAGCCTATCTCTAAGAAAAATAAAAATAAAAATTGTTTTAAATGCATAAACAAAATGTGCTGTACATATACAATGGGGATGGAGTACGATTCAGCCAAAAAAAGGAACACAGCTCTGATACATACTACAACATGAATGAACCTTGAAATAATTATGCCAACTGAAATAAGTCAAACACAAAAGGATAAACATTGTATGATTCCACTTACATAAAATTTCTAGAATAAGCAAATTCATAGGGACAGAAAGTAGATTAGAGGTTACCCAGGGCTGGAAGGAGTGGGAAATGAGGGACTTAGTGCCCATTGGTTACAGACTTTCCATTTGGTGTGATGAGAATGGTTTTGGAAATAGAGAGTTCCAAATAGATGATTCCACAACTTTGTGAGTGTAATTAATGCCACTGGATTGTACATCTAAAATGGTTAAAATGGTTAATTTTGTTATTTATTTTTATTAATATTATTTTTAATTGACAAATCATAATTTTATATATTTATGGAGTACAATGTGATGTTTTGATATATGAATACCACTTAGAATGATTAAATCAAGGTAATTAACATATCTATTACCTCCTCTATCAGTTTTTGTGGTACACATTTTATGTTATATGTATTTTACCACAATAGAAAAAAAAATTATTTTAAAAGGCTGTTCAAAGAAAATGAAAGAAGGAAGAATAAATAAGTAAATAAAAGATTGTTTGCAGAAGCTTTTTCATAAGAGCCAAAAATTAGACATAAACCAAATGTCCATCAACAGGTCAATGGATGAAGAAATTAAGGTAGAGCCATGCAATATTGTACACAACTTGGCAATAAAAAAGAATGAACTACTAATACATGCAATAAAATGAATAAATCTTAAAAAAAAAAAAAAAGAAGAAAAAGAAGCCAGACATGAAAGACTTCATTCTGTATGATTCCATTTATATGAAGTTCTTGAACAAGCAAAATTCATCTATGGCAAAAGAAATCAGAGAAATGGTAGGAGGTGGAGGAGGATGTGAGGGTTATTGGGCTGGCACCGGGATTTTCTTAGGTAGTGAAAGTGTTCTATATCTTAATTAGCTTGTGAATTGTGTGAGTGTGCATCTATCAAAACTCTTCAAACTGGACATTTAAGATTTAAGTGTTTAGCTACATGTAAATTATATCTCAATTCTAAAATTATCCAAAATTTTCTTTTTTTTTTTTTGAGATGGAGTTTTCCTCTTGTTGCCCAGTCTGGAGTGCAATGGCACGATCTCGGCTCACCGAAACCTCTGCCTCCAGGATTCAAGCTATTCTCCTGCCTCAGCCTCCCGGGTAGCTGGGATTACAGGCATGTGCCACCACGCCCGGCTAATTTTGTATTTTTAATTAGTAGAAATGGGGTTTCTCCATGTTGGTCAGGCTGGTCTAGAACTCCCCAACTCAGCTGATCCGCCCACCTCGGCCTCCCAAAGTGCTGGGATTACAAGCGTGAGCCACCGCGCCCAGACAAAATAAAGTTACAATTTTATGACTCCCAATGAACAATATCAAATACTTCCCCAAAGGATAGTATCCATTTACAACACTGCCAACATTGTATGAGAGTTCCCTGAACTCTCACCAGCATTCAATATTATCACACTGTTTATTTTACAAATGTAATGAGTGAAAATCACACCTATTTTTATTTTCATTTCAATTACTACGAATTAAGTTTAATATTTTCCCAGGTATTTGTTTACATTTACATTTATTTTGAAATTGTCTTTTTATGGCTCTTGCCCAGTATCTATTGGACTCTACTATGTTTTTTAATTTGTAAGAATTCTTTATTAATAAATACATTAATGTTTTGATATATTTGCTACAAATATTTTGTCACTTCTTGATTGACCTTTAAATTTCCATAAGGTTCTTATGCATAGAAAGTTTTCATTTTCTATAATCAAATATGAATATTTATTTGTGACATCTTTTCTCAGTTTAGAAAGTTGTGATTGCCTCTTTTTCCCTAGAAAATAATTATATTTTTGCTAATTTTTGCAGTTAGACATATTTTTTATTGTGACACTTTAATCCTCTGGAACTGATTTT